GCACAAAAAGTATTCTCATAGCTTCGTAAAATTATGGTTGAACCCCTGATGTCACATGGACTATTTTACAGATGTCCTTGCTACGTTTCTGTGCGTTGATCGTGACAGTATCATTGCTGTCTATGGAGGGTCAGAGAGCTCTCAGATTTAATCAAAAACATATGAATTTGTGTTCCGAAGATAAACGAAGGTCTTACGGGTTTGGAACGACATGAGGGTGAGTAATTAATGACAGAATTTTCATTTTTGGGTGAACTAACCCTTTAAAAACAGTTGTGTTGTTTAACATTTTTGTGGAAACATGATGCAATTTTTCAGGATTCTTTAATGAATATAAAGTTCAAAAGAACAGCATTTTTTGTAAATAGAATGTTTTTATAACACTAATTACTGTCACTTTTGATAAATTTAATACATCTGTTCTAAATAAAAGTATTTATTTCTTAAAAACACACACGGAGTAGATTATATTACATATTATATTAGATGTAATAAGCGATAGAATTTTCTTTTGTGGGTGAACTCTTCCTTCAAGCACTACAGCATCATTTCATGTGTGAGAGAGTGTGCAGTAAGTTACCTGTGCGCTCGGCTTCGCTCCATCCTCCTCCCCCAGCGGCTGCCGGGCAGATCCCTCTGCGGGAGAGGAATGACATGCCGCAGGTACAGATCTGTGAGCAGCTCGCGGTCCTCTTCATCACCCACTGCTATCTTCCTCTACAACACAACACAGGCACGAGTCACTCGTTTGCTACTGTTCTGACTCATTCCTCGGACATTAGGCATTTTTACTAGATCTTATTAAAATACTTTACAGAAAAGCCTGAGCTCACCAAAAACAACTAAAATATGATTATTATTATGTTCATATAAGAAACAAGCACGTTTATGCGATGAAGCCTACAATAACCTGACAGATTTCATGTGGCTCTCAATCTTACCTCGCGTAACATAAGCTGAATGAACTCCTGAGAAAGAAGCTCTGGGTGAAGCAGAAGGTCGATTTTGGAAACATCTCCAGCATTTGATGTGGCGGTTTTCGTTCTGTCTGTCCTGTGTGACGCCATGTTTCTCATCGGTTTCCGGAGAGCGCAGGAAGAAGCGCTTTTGTTCTGCGCTTATGTGACAGGCGTTTAACAGCGTATGACCATTACTGCCACCTACAGTAACTTATGACAAAGTTATTTCATATTTACACCAGGTTTTTTTTTACATGGATGTACAGCCCCAAAAGAACTTCAATCCATGTTACTGATGGATTGAATGAACAGACAATTAATGGGCAAATATTTGGCCATTTACAGCTATTAGCACTGGCTGATAACCATATCAACTAAACATTTTATTCATTTGTTGTGAATATTGTGTATTTCACTTAATCAGTTTTGTGTAGGCTACTTATTTGCTACCAGGATATGTTATTACATCTATAGGCATTACATCTGCCATCCTCCAATTTGCTTTTTTGACACTGGTATCAGCCTTTGGAAAACACATATTCGTCCCTTTTTTGTTCTTCAGTAGGCCTATTGACAGATTTCTATATTGACAGTATTTATATAGGCCTATAGTCCCAAAGTTACTGATTAAAAAAGGAAATAAAATAAAAAACTAAGATAGACTTTACAGAAAATACCACATGCATGATGCATTCCAAATATTTCAGGAATGGTGAAAGTGTGTGTAATGATAGTTTTATGAATTTACAGAAGCAACATTCTTCAGTCAAAGTGGTAAAATGACTGAAAACAGCAAGCAGAAATCATAATTATATTGTAAAAATTAAGAAACAAGAACAATAATTTAGGTTCTACATTTATTATTATTATTTTTTGTTTTTTATTTTAACGGAAAACAAATTGTGGACAAACAGCATTCAGTTAAAACCAACCAGTCGTGCAGTATCACTTTGTTCAAGGCAAACTCAAGATGGTTAACATTACTGACAAGCACAGCTTGAATGTATACCATATATTTGAAACTGATATGAAAAAGGTCAAGGGTTTGTTACCCAGTGGGTTGCACAGACAGATAAAATGTACAGCTTGAATGCACTGTAAGTTACTTTGGTTAAAAATGTCAGTCAAATGCATAAAATAAGAATACAATTAAAAAAAAAAAAACTCACTTAACCATGAACAAATTCTATCAAAAATGTACAGTAAATCACCAGTTTAGTTACTTTATTTGCCCATTTTTTTCATGTTTTACAAAACTGCAGAACATGTCAAATCTTTCCAACAGAAAAATAAAGAAATTACGGAGTTCAGGAACATATATGAATATTGCTCTGGTGAATTTCAGACAGCAGATGCTGTTTCCTTCATCACTGCAGATTATGGTCGGAGGAGTTATTTGTCAAGTTTTCAATTCATAAGTGTTCTTTGAAAACATGACTTTAAATGTTTCATATCTTAACATTATCTTCATTATACTTTGGTGCAAATCCTAGACAGAAGACTGGGTCTCACTGCTGCACACATAGATGTTGCTGGGTCTTATACGCCTGCGACTTCGCCTGGGAATCTTGGGACAGAGATGACAGGTCTTGGGCATGAACTCCAGGCAGGCTTCACGAAACTTGCGGATTCTCCAGCAGTATATCACCGGGTTGAAGACCGCTTTGAGGTAACTCAACCACAGTGCCCCGATGCTGATGGGGTAAAAGGCCGGGCTGAGGTAGAAGCGTCTACTGAACACCGCCAGCAGACTCACCACAGTATGTGGCAGCCAACACACGGAGAAGCCAATGAACAGGATGAGGATGGTGGTGAAGGCCCTGGTTTTGAAACTCATGTCCACATTGACTTGGGGTCGCTGCAGACCAGTTAAACCCAACTTGCTGATGTGGCTGATAGCGACGCTGCCTTCGCTGGTGTGATTGTGGATGCGCAGTGCATTGTGTCGAACTGTGTTGAGAATACACAGATAGCAATACAACATCACACCAAATGGCGTGAAAAAAACAGCGACTGCAAGCAGAACTGTGTAAGCCCGGTCCGCCAGTGATTCACTGAATCCCAGAATGCATTGCGGTACTTGCGCCCCAATCCCAGCTGTCCTCCAGCCGACAACAGACGGTAGGGACACGCAAAGCGACAGAGCCCATGACGCGGCAATAAGGATTTTCGCCCGATGGGGCGTTAGCTTGTCCTGACGCTGAACTATAATGAGGAACCTATCGACGCTGATGATCAGAAGGATGGACACACCTTCTAGAACAAACAGCCAGTACAGCATGACGGATATGCGGCAGAATCCCACTCCAAAGCTCCAGTCTGTAGTTGCGAGAGTGACGGCGGTGAATGGCATGCATAGCAGCGACAGCATGATGTCTGAAAAAGCCAGTGTGGCCAGGAGCAGATTAATCGCTGAACGCATGGCTGGTTTCTGATACACTATCAGACACACAATGGCATTGCCAAGAAAACCAATGGTGATCATGAAGATCATGATGGCAGCCAGTGCCACCCTGAGAGTGGTGGGCATAAGGGCAGTATCAGACTCTTGCATCTCAGTTTCTATTGGTTCAAGAAGGCCACACCCCTCCAATGAGCTACCATTACATGTAAACATGGCAGCTGTTACCAGGTATTATCCATCCAAGGCTGGAAAGTCATAGCTATATCTTTGCCATGGTCCTGTGAGCTCCCATTAAGTGAAAAACTCTTCTGTAAAACATTACCTGCAACAGAAGACCATAAGTGTGAGGTATATTAATAACAATGCATATATTCATTTACGCTGCTGTCAAAAGTTTGGGGTCAGTACAATTTTTTTTTAAATACTATTATTCAGCAAGGATGGATTAAATTGATCAAGTGACAGTAAAGACATTTAAATGGTTACAAAAATGTTTCGAATAAATGCTATTCTTTGAACCTTCTATTCATCACAGAATCCTGGAAAAAATGTATCATGGTTTCCACAAAAATGTTAAACGGAAAAACTGTTTTCAACATTGATTGTAATAAGAAATGTTTCTTGAGCAGCAAATCAACAAATTAAAATTATTTCTGAAGGATCATGTGACACTGAAGACTGGAGTAATGACTTGAAAATTCAGCTTTGCCATCACAGAAATAAATAAAATAAATTACACTTTAAATAATTACATTTTAAAACATAATTAAATAGGAAGCAGTTATTTTAAATTGTAATAATACTTTACAATATTACTGTTTTTACTGAATTTCTGATCAAATAAATGCAGATGCAAAGTGCAACTATATTATCATCCAGCTCATTATAAATCGTTGGATATAAGTATATATGTAGCATACTCCTGTAGGGCAATATATACTATATGGCAAATCTCAGTGGCTTGACTGCTTCTGTCATCACAAAATGTCCACTATATTATTGCCCATCTGCTTAATGCAACTATAAGGCATGATGATATGAAGAAATTATAAACATCAATATAAACAAATGAGAAAAGTGCATCACAAATAAATTTGACTTGACTTGATTTGAAAGGTTTTTCTAAACATCTTTTGTGTTCTGCTGAAGAATGAAAATTATAGAGGTTTAAAATTATAAGATAAGATAAGACTTGTTATAGCACTTGCATATCATTGCTCTTTTGTTGATTTTGATTGCTTCCATTGTCCTCATTTGTAAGTTGCTTTAAATAAAAGCGTCTGCTAAATGTAATGTAAATGTAAAATGACATGAAGGTGAGTAAATAATGACAGATTTTTCTTTTTTGGGTGAACTATCCCTTTAAGAGCACGGAGGCGCAGTCTGTGATAGGATTTTAGTGAGTGACATTTTTATGACAGCACATGAGAATCGCATAAACAGTAAAGACATATGGTGAAAACATTCTTGTAATAATTGCATTTTTTTGCTTAAACATCTGTAGAGCAATCTGTGCAGAGCACAATATGAGCAATATGGTGAGCATATACAAACCACATTCATCATGTTTACAGATGAAAGAGGGAATGATGCTCACTCAGAGGATGCTGCTGTTGCCATGGTTACACTGGGCTGTTCTTTGCTAAGGATAGTGCAGATATAAAGGGGAATGCAAATTCCATGAATTCATCACACATCTCTGCATGTCATCCTCTGACACCTCCATTGTCCTAGATAAGACCAGAATACCTGCAAAACACACAGCAGGACAGTTACACATACTAATTTGAGGGCATATTTCTAGCCATATTTCAAGTAGCGATCATGGGTTGGCTAATCAGATTTTCATGGTTAATGAAATATCGTTCCTTCTCTATGTTTCGTTTATCAAATTGAAAGGGACAGTGGACATTATGGTGCATATATTGATGTTTTTCTCATTGAGCTTTAGAAGTATGGCTGTCAATCTATTTAAAAACTCACATGTAATTCCCAGTATACGAAGTCTACAATACAACACAATCCATTGGGGATTCATAGGTAATTATCAGCATACATTATTTAAGATTTTTGGGCATACGGTGTGGATCAGACTCTGGGGTACAGGTGATGACAAAAGGAGATATGACAAACAGAAGCAATCGGAATCAAGTAATAGAATTAAAATATCCTATGAAATTTGAAGAATGCTGTTATGTACAATGAAATATACTATAGGATATAAAATGTGTGAAACATAAAATAATGGAATAACAACAAAATAAGAATAAATATACAATGAAATATGTTATGAACAATTAAATATTTATTTTGTAACGTAGAACACAATGCAGTGTATATATATTCATGTAAATTCTGTACAGTGAGTATGGCAATAAGTGTACAATAAGTTTAGCAACTAAAACAACATCCACACATCAGTCTCACTAAGTCTTGGTCATGGCTGTCTCTAAGAGTTTGATGTATTAATCAACCCATTCAGCATCCATCTAGCGCCCATGCCAGTTTCTAGATAGCCATTGGCTTAAGTGTAATTAAAAACTAGAGATTGACCAATATAGCTTTTTGAACAAAACCGATAACAATTATTTGTACGTTTAAGTGTCCAATTGCCAATATGGAAAACAGATTTTTTTTAACACAAGGATAAATAAAATAATAAATAATAATAATATTAGCAATAAAATCATGTATAAGACTACTGTATATTATTATTAGCCGATTATTATTATTATTTTGT